AATGTATCCATGCCACTGGTCTCATGTAAAGGTTTACAGCCCTGGCCCCTCTTGGTGAGGAGTGACGGTCACTGCTGCTGCCAACACATCCCTTTGGCTGCGCTCTCTGGAGCAGGGTGGAGAGGCAGCGGGACACAGGGCAGAGCTGTTGGTGTGTTCTCATGGTAAAATCCAGGGTTTCTCAGTCGATTTGTGACGGATGTGACCACAGAAACGGGTCTGGGACCTCACGGAGGTGACGGCGAGGGTCTGCTCACCGGCTGGCCATGCACTCGGGTGTCTGCGGTGCTGCGAGGGGAAGTCTGAGCCCATGCCTGCTCAGCCCGGTCCGTGCTCACCCGGCTGGGTGCCAGCTGGCTGCTGCTGCTGTTTGCCTTGGCTCCGCACAGCCCGAAACCGAGCGGCTCTGCAGAGGCCCCGCTGCTCCCCCTGGGAGGATGCCATCGCCAGGACTCCCCTGCCCTGTTTATCCACCCATGGAAAAACTAAAGGAATGAGGCTGCGAGCGAGTGAGCCAGGCTGAAGGTGCTTGCAAAATCCCCGCTGTGGTGACAGGACCCAACCGAGCCTCTGCGTGCACGTGGATGCGCGGGTACATGTGCAGGTGTACACGAGATCCCTCAGTGGTGGTATTGACCTTTTAACTTATTTCAGATGTGTAGTACAATGGAACATCACCCTCCCTGTCCGTGGAAGCTGGGTTTCCTGTTGCTTTGCCTGAAGCCCGTGAGCTTTTCTGCCTGTGCCTTTTGCCAGCACTCGCTTAGTTTTTAACGTCGTTTTGCTCATTCATTGCTTTCATGGACTTCTGCTCCGCATCCAGCATCTCAGCTTGCTGCTGGTGCTCTCTGCAGCGAGCAGCATTCAGCTGCTGGAAAGGCAGCTCAGTGTTGGTGAACCGCTGCTTGCCTGCTGTTGGCCTCATGGGGGATGCCCAGGGCTGGCTGCAGCCTCGAGGCGTCAGGAGAACATCTCAGCTGGTTTTTGGAGGCCCCATCTCGGAGGGTTTTGCTTTCCTCAATCACAGGCTCTTCCCCACCCATGATTTTGTTTCCATCCCATAAGCACCCTGCTCGCCTTTCCCCGGCAGAGCACACCACAGCACCCATCCCAAACGTCACCCTGACCCTAGAGCTGTGCTGTTGGTTCCCCATGCTCCTGGGGACTACCTTGGGGTTATCACACCGAGCAAGGCTCATCCCACCTCTCCCAACCCCTGCACTGGGGCCAGGCTCAGACAACCCAACACCATCTCTGCAGGTTTGCTGGACAGCAAAGATAAGGGATGTTCCAGAGCACTGCTGGGTTCTTGAGTCCCAGCATCCCGTTGACCTTTGCTCTGTGTTGACTGCAGCTTTCCTCAATGTCTCTGTTGCTTTGGGGGACTGAATTTGTACCAAACTTGTGTGCAACAGCCAATCACTGTTATTTTGCTATGCATTGTACATACATTGAACAGGCTGAGAGAGCTTGGCCTCTATTTAATATTTATTTCTTCTATTTATTGAGCATTCCTTTGAAAAAGCTTTTTGGGTCCTGCCATCGGGTCCAGGAAGGCAGGGAGCTTTCGAGGTGCTGCCATAGCATTAGAGACAGGTTATCAGAGAGGGGGATTACGGGTAAGTGAGGCTGTCACCAGCATGGAGACAAATCAGGGTCAGCTGGAGCTCAACCGCCGGTGATTCAGAGGGATCTCGTTTAGATGAAGATGAGCGAGGCAGGGAAAATCCTCCATCTTCTTGGACCAGCTTCTGTTGACAAATCACAGCTGGGCCTTCGGAGGTGACAGAGCCTGTTGTGGTGGAGGAATAATCCCGCTTTTCCTCCTCTGTGCCATGCAGAGATCGCTGGAGATCTCTGATCTCCCACCACTGCCCACGCCCCCCCTTGGCTCTCAACGAGGGACTTGTCACCCTTTCATTGATGTGATAAAAGGGATAGGGCTGAAGTGCTTTGCCAGGCAGCAAGGATGTCGGCCCTGCCCCATCCCCAGGCCCTCATCCTCATGCCATGTCCTGCCTTGCCCCCTCCACCTGCAGGGCACCCATCCTTGGGGCTATCGGGATGCTTGTTTGACAAAGGGGCAGATTCAGGTGCCTGAGTGATGCCTTTGCCCTTCAGTGCCCACCGGGGTTTTGTTACCTCCTCACCAGAGAACTCTCATGACTTTTGCTGCTACCTGGAAGTTTGCACATGATGGGGAGGGTCTCCGGAGCCCTGCTGCATCCGCTGTTGTGGCAACACATCCACAGTCAAGCATCCAGACTTTTGGGCTCTTGCCCAGAGAACAACTCCCGGAACCTCCCCAGCCCGGGGCAGCTCTGCCTCCGAAACCCAGGAATGAGAGGATTTGGAGCAAACAGGTGAGAAAAGCCGCGAGGGAACCGGTGTCCGCGTGTCCTCACCCGCTGGTCCATTCCCGTCTGCTGCTGTGACCTCATTGTGACACCCCCTTTGCTCTCCATCCAAACGCAGACTGTATTCCTTAGTCTTCCTGGGGTATTCCTGTTGTTAGCCTGGTTAGGAGAAGGGTTCCAATAAAGGCTCAGACAGTGTTTCCTTCTCATCGCAGCCCCGGTGGTCACGTTCCTGTTGGATCCGCGCTGGGATGGTTTGGGGTCTTTCAGCTGCTCCGCAGGGAAGGGCAGGGCTCCGAGGGCCGGCTCCCTGGGGCATTGGGTGAAGCAAGAGCAGTTGTGGGTTGGTGTTTGTGGCAGCTCCCCCTGCCCTTCCCTGCTCCCAACAGGGACCCAGGAAGGGCCTGGGCACACGGGGGGCAGCGTCCCCGGGTCACTGGGAGGAGAAGGGATGGGGGGCAGGTTGCTTCGTGCTGCCCGGAGCTGATGCGGTGGGGCCCGGCCGGAGGCTCCTGTGACAACAGGAGCTAAATTGGGATGGCCCAGGGAGGGGACATGTGACTAATTGGGATAAACAAGGTGCCAGGGAGGATTCCTGGCCGGGGAGGGAGCGTGGCCCGCAGCTGTGCAGGGAAATGTGGGGCTGGAGATGCTGGGAGGCTCCTGGAAATGGCAGGACCCTGGAGCTGCCCCAAACCACCCCGGGGCTCGTCCCCTTCCAGCGGGTGCAGAACTGGGGTGATCCCTGCTCCCCAGCCAAGCTGACAGGAGCTGGGCTGCAGGGCCAGGCGGGACAAAGGGGATGGAGGGGGATGCTCTGCCCCCCCACTGGAAGCTGCCTCCTTGCATCCATGGGCGCTCAGCCAGCAGCCAGAACTTCCCCAGGCACCCCCTTAGACCCGAGGGAGACCCCTGTACATGGCGGGGACAAAGGAGCTGATCCCATGGGAGCATCCCTGCCCCACACCAGGGAGAGGCAGCTCCCTTCCCCTGCAGTGTGGCGTCGGAGCAGCGTGATTAATGCCGCTGGAGTGACCATCAGCTGAATTGCAGCGCGGCCTGGGCTGCATGAAAGCTTCCTGCTGCAATTAGTTCCATCAAGTCTATTAGAGAAATTGCAGATGCTGGAGAGAAGGAGCATGAGGCAGAGGCAGGAGGGAGGATGCGGCACGAGGAAGTGGTCCCGTACCCAGCACCACCTTCACTGATCACATCCCATCCTCTGCCGCATCCCATCGCGCACCCAAGCCGTGCCTGGACCACCCCACGGGAAGCCCCTCGCTGGCACCAGGTATGGCCGCTGCGCGCAGGGCCGGGGCCGCCTCTCCCGACGGGAGCTCGCAGGCTCTTCCCACGGCGCTGCCCGCTCCCGCTGCCCTGTAATTAGCGCCGCGGCTGTGATTAACGCCTCGCCCTGCCTGCGCCCGCCGCGGGGCGAGGAGGAGGAGGCTGAGGGGAGGCCGGTGCTGAGCAAGGACCCTGCTCCGCCGCCGCTGGGGTCCGTCTGCTGCAGGGGGATGCGGCTCTGGAGAGCCCCTGGAGAAGGGCATCCCTCGGCTTTCCTCCTGCATCCCGCAGTGCAGCGCTGGGCTGCCGAGATGCAGAGAGGGGCTCTTCATCAGGGACTGCAGCGATAGGACAAGGGGCGATGGGTTCAGACTGAAACAGGGGAGACTGAGATGAGCTCTTAGGCAGAAGCTCTTCCCTGTGAGGGTGCTGAGGCGCTGGCACAGGATGCCCAGAGAAGCTGTGGCTGCCCCATCCCTGGCAGTGCTCAAGGCCAGGTTGGACACAGGGGCTTGGAGCAAGCTGCTCTAGTGGAAGGGGTCCCTGCCCGTGGCAGGGGTTGGAGCTGGGTGACCCCAAGGACCTTTCCAACCCACCCCAGGCTGGGATTCAGTGACTCATGCTCTGGGCCACAAAGGGGTCCTTCCCCTGCCCCAGTGTCCCCAGGCGCCCACCCTCACAGCCCCGCACTGGAGGTGCCCCCAGTGACCCATTTCCCAGTACAGTGGCTCCGTGCTGGCGCGGGGACTCGTGATTTACAGTGCGGGGCCCAGCCCCACCGGGGTATTTTTAACCGGTGACCCTGGGCTGGAGGCAGCCGGCGCTGAGCTCGGGGCTATTTCGGGTGCCTGGGCTGGGCGCAGGGGGCAGCGGGGGCCGGGGCAGCTGCCGGGGCAGCGCGGTGCTGAGGCCGGCGGCAGGGGTCAGCTGCCGCAGCCCGGATTCTCCACGGCTGTTTCATCCTCTCCAAAATACCCGGCTGACAGGGCAGGGATTGCAAAACACCCCCCCCCTCCTCCCAAACCCGTATAAATAGGGCTCGCCCGGTGGCTGGAAGGTTGGAGAAGTTTCTCGGCTCCGAGCTGGGGCATTTATTGCAGGTCTCGGCGAGGAGCGGCAGGGAAAGCCGTCCGTAAAGCGCTGGGCAGTGAGAGGAGGGGCGCGCTCCTGGACCTTGGGATATTCGGGGCTTTTTGGGGTGTTTGAGTTCCCTCTGCCGCCAAGTTTCGCCTCTCTGCTCCCGGTGCCTGGGATCGCGGCCAGGCAGGAAGCGTTCTCTGGCGGCCGCAGAGCTCCCTCGTCCTCGCTGCGCTCCTCCGGCTCGCAGTGATTTCAGCCCCGCACTGATCCGCGCCTCGTCCTTCCCCTGGTGCCCGGCGAGCAGGGGACGGTCCCCGCGGCACCCGCGTCCCGCCCGGGGTGGATGCGTCTCCTGCGGGGGAGGGCTCCCCAGGGAAGTTCGCAGCCAGGAGCAGCCGCGCAGGGGCTGAGGCTCCGGGGCAGAGCCCGGGGGACCCGTGCGGACCCCGCTGAGTGCGGCCATGGCCGACAGCCAGATGCCCTTCTCCTGCCATTACCCCGGCCGGCGCAGCGTCCGCGACCCGTTCCGGGAGCCCGGCCTGACCTCGCGCCTGCTGGACGATGACTTCGGGATGTCGCCCTTCCCCGGGGACCTCACCGCGGACTGGCCCGACTGGGCTCGGCCCCGGCTCACCACGACCTGGCCGGGCCCCCTGCGCTCGGGCATGGCCCGCGCCTGCACCATGGCCCCCAGCTACGGAGCCCACTTCGGGGGGTACCCCGAGAGCCGCAGCCCCGCGCCCTTTCCCCGCGAGCCGTGGAAGGTGTGCGTGAACGTGCACAGCTTCAAACCCGAGGAGCTCACGGTCAAAACCAAGGATGGCTACGTCGAGGTGTCAGGTGAGAGCGGGGAGCAGGGGGCAGGAGGAGGTCCTGGCTCAGGGCATCGCCGTAATGCGCAGAAATCGCCTCTGTTTGAAGCCGGGAGCAGGGCCGGGGCTTGGGGCAGTTTGGGGGTGCGATGGGGGGGGACCTGGCGCACAAACCGTGGTGGTTTGGTTGCAGAAATGAGAAGGACGAGGCTCCCGTGGGGTGAGTGCGCAGGGAGGCACCATGGCGAGCGGCAGCTGCCAAGAGGGGCCCCGGCTCGGCTCGGTTAATTATAGCTGGGGTGAGGCCGGTGCGGAGGGAGATACCCTTTAAAGGGGCCAAGGGAGAGGCAGCTCCAGCGCTGGGAAGTGGGAGACAGCAGAAAGAGCCCAGCCTGGGGATGAGCCAGCCAGAGGCATGTCCCTACCAGTGCGGTTACCGGTGGGGATGGTGCCGGGAGCAGCGGCCCAGCACCCACATCCTGCATCACCCCGAGCTGGGCCCCCAGGGAGGGCAGCGTGGCTCCTGGCATCACATGGGGACAAACCCCCTGGACAAGGGGATCCGGGCAGCCTGGGTTTGCCTTCAGAGATGCTCCAGGCCCAGGGAGCCCCATCCTGACAGCGCAGTGCAGGGGAGCTTAGCCCGGGGAGCAGGACAAGGGGGGATGCTGCAGCCTCCAAAGGATTTACTGCATCTGGGGGCTTTTCCTTAAGGCCCAGCTCTTGGCGGGCTGTGAGACCCCAGGCTCCCACTGGAAATCTGGGTGTGCTGTGTCCGGCTTCTCCTGCCCCACATAGGAGAGACTCCTGAAGGGAAGGGTTTGAAGAGGGGAAGGGGAACGACTCCTGTGGGGACTCTGCTGTCGGGTTCCGTTGTTGGGGTGCGGTGCTGACGAGGGGCTCCCTTCCTCACAGGCAAGCACGAGGAGCAGCAGGTGGAAGGAGGGATCGTCTCCAAGAACTTCACCAAGAAAATCCAGTGAGTACCAGCCAGCCCCCTCCTGCCAAAGGGGCTGGGACGCAGCGGGGGCTGCCATGTCCTTCTGACCAGCACCCAAATGTCACTGCCCTGCTATGGACCCCGTCCCTGCAGGCTGAGCTGTGCCAATCCCCACGCCCTGGCTCTTTTCACCCCGAAACCTGCCCTTCTGCAGCTCGTGCCGGGCTGGTTCAGGCCTCACAGTGATTCCCCAAGGGAGGTAAAAGAGGAGGAGAGCTGTTTCTGCGTGCTCTGCCAGTCTCCTTGAGGCCCAGGGCTGTGTTTAGAGCCAGTCAGGGCACAGGAAGCTTGAGGGGGTACTCCTGGTGCCAGCACATCCCCTGGGGCTCAGCAGGGCACAATGGGCTGACACCATCATCGGCCCCAAAATCCATCCCTGTGTGTGAGGGTATCTATATCCCATCTACCTGAATGATGTCAGTTAGATTGCTATCGTGTTGACTCACCCCGGTGCCTCATTTTGGCAACAACAGCAGCAAAGGGCAGGGAGGAAAGGCAAATCCGGAGGCTTCACCCGTGCAGGGGGGTCCGACCCACAGCCATAGCACTCACAGGGCTAAAAGGGAGAAAGCAGCCAAGCCCTGGGAACACGAAGGGTTTCCTCAGCCTGAGCTTTGCTTTCCCACCCCAGAGGAGCCCTGTGCATCCCATGGGAACGCTGGGGCGAGCACCAGCTCCCTCCTGCTTGTGCTCAGCAGCCGCGGCGGCTCCTTTTACGGGCAAGGCTTGTGTCTGACGCTGCGGCAGCGCAGGGTCTGCTCCTGGGCGGGTGACACCGCATCAAACACGTGTGCTGGGGAGATTAAACAGAGCCCGCAGGGGCCGGGAGCCGCTTTGAATGTCCCCGGCACGTTCCCAGGCACTCCAGTAAGGGCACCGGCTTTGCCGGGGCTGCCGGGTGGGCACCGGTGGTACCCAGGGATGAGCCCCAGCTCCTAACCCATCCCGTCCTTCCTCCCGTCCTGCAGGCTGCCCTACGAGGTGGACCCCATCACGGTCTTCGCCTCCTTGTCGCCGGAGGGGCTGCTGATCATCGAGGCGCCCCAGATCCCCCCCTACCAGCAGCACGGCGAGGGCGGCTGCGGCAGCGAGATCCCCGTCGAGAGCCAGGAGGCCACGTGTGCCTGAGCAGCCTCCCGCATCCCTGCATCCCTCCTCCCCTCTCCCCTTTCCCCCCAGAACCCCGCTCCCTGGTCCCCTGCGGCGCGGCGTCTGGACTGCCTCTGGCTCAAGGGTGATGGCAGCAACCCCCGCCACCCCGGGGGGGACCAGCTGAGAGCCAGGGTGCACACAGGGTGCCAGGCCACCGTCCCCGAGGGCTTGTAGTGGTCTGAGGAGCCGGTAGAGGCGTTGTGCCTATGGGGCTGAGCAGAACGGATTCCTGCTCACGGTTGGGTTTTGCTCCAAGTCGCCCGGATGGGCTATTTATGACGGTAGCACAAAAAGGGCCCTTTTTGTTTCTCTAGAATTGATGTGGATTCCCACAGTCCTGCGTCCTTCCCTCCTCTGTAGGTTTTGGGGTTTGTTTTTATAAACTATCTCTGCAAAGGATGCGCATCCGGCAGCGGAGCTGGATGGCCCGGCCTCTGTCCCGAGGAGCGCCACCCGTCTGCGTGTTCTGAACGTTGGTTTGGGGTTTTCCGTGTTCTGGTCCGGTTTTTTTTCTTTTCCAAAGAGGAAATGTGCTTTTTCTTGTCAGACCTGAGGAATAAAACCCAGTCGATGTTCTTAGCCTCTGTGTGTCTCAGCTGAGCCTAAAGGGAGCAAGGGGGGATGTCACCCCATGTCGCCTCCTAGCCTGGCACTGGTGCTGCCCATGGGGGGGAAGGAGGAGAGGGATGTGTGGGGATGTTTGCACTCATGGGCAGCTGAAGCTTTGGCTGTTCTGCAGCCTGGGAATGCTGAGTCCTGGCTAGCATCGTGCGGGGAGGTGCAGTGAGGACCATGGGCTCATCCTTTCCTTACCCTCTTCAGAGGTTGCAAATGTTCTTCCTGTTTGGGGATGCTCAAACCTCCGAGCTTGGAAAGTTGGCTTTGCACCACCCCCATTTCCATCCAGCTCCATGGGGAAGCACTTCCCAGCTAATGGTACTGGCAAATGGTTTCCATGGGGATCCAGACACAGCCTTAAAACCACTCCTAGGGGCAAAGCCCCGGGTAAGAAGTGCCCACTTGCTGCAGTGCTCAGGGTTGGCAAAGCAGAGGTGCCAGTGGGCAGCAGGGGTTTGTCCATCAATCCCTGTGGCACCTGGGCTCGGTTTTCCATGTCACCAGGACTTGGGAGTTAAAAATACAGCCTCACATGCCCGGGCCTGGCTCCTTCGGGATGCGGTTACCAACAACAGCCCATCACGTGGTGTAAACCCTGTTCCGGGGCCATGGTGGTACCTCGCAGCGGGTCACACAGGGGAGCCTGGGGGCTCTCACCCTGGTTGTGGTGGTTAATGCTGTTTGTACCGAGGCGTGTGTGTATTTAACCCCCCGTGCACGTCAGAGGGAGCCAGCCCTGGGCTCTGCCAGGCAGGGCTGTGAGCACAGTGAGTTTATGAATAGAATTAATCCATGAAATGCAGTCCCCACACGGGGATGGGAAGCCGAAGAGCCATGAGTCACAGCCCCAGCTCTGTCCTCACACCGCTTAGCACCAGCGTGCCCCATGGGTGACTCCGCTCCCGCACAAGTTGTCCCTCCTCTTCCTCTTCCCCTTCGAAGGATGATTTCGGTGTTGGAAAAATCCCCAGGCCCCGTTTTGCCCCCATCCCCTCAATGCACTTTCCATGGGAAGGATCCTATGGGAAGCACGTGTGTCTTCATGGACCGAGTGCATGGATGCGGCCCCACAGCATCCCTGGGATCCCGGCTGTGGGATGCTGACGGCGCCCACCGTGGGTTCAGGGGACCAGCTGCAGGGGCTGGGGCAAAACTGGCTGCAGCTGAGCCCCTCTCCCACCACAGGGTATATGGGGAGGTCCCAGGCTCCACCCTGGGGCTGCTGCAGGCAGGTGGTGGCTCTTTGCTTCCTCTCCTGCTGCTCCTGCAGTCTGGGGGAAGGTTGCTATGTTTTAATCACGTTCTGGTTTATTTGGGTCTGCTGACTTCTTTAATAGCATCTTATAAAGGCTGCTGTAAGATGCATTAGCAATAATTTCTTAATGGCTGAGGTTGGCATTGGCAGTTAGCACTGAGGACCTCTTACACAGGCAGGGTGCGTGGACCTGTGCGGCTTCTCAAGCTGTTGCGTTCTCTGGAGTATCCTGTGCTAATGGAATAGCTGTAAGTGGATATCTGTTTTCTTTTCTTTAAGCATGAGCTGGTTACTGAAGTGAAGGAGGCTTTAAAATAAATAATCCCTACCGGTGTTCCAGCAGATGGAGAAACAAGTTTGGGACCAGTGGAGCGTGGCTGCACCAGCATCAATGCTGGGTCTGCAGGGGATGGGGTGGGAACCGTGTGCTTCTGGGGTGCTGCAGAGCTGGGGTCAGTGGGAGCTGTTTGCTCCTCCTCAGCCTGCGTGTGAGGCCGTGGCTTGGAGCCGTTAGACCCTGTAACACAACCCTGTAATGGCCACTCCACCAATTACATTCCACGTCACGGGTTTAGAGCAATTACAGTGCGTCGGGTGCTGTCATAGCACACTGTGTTTATAGCTTAATATGGGCTCTAACAGGGAGATGCTGTGCGGGATGCGGCTGTGGTCGAGCTCCTCTGGATGGGGGAAGCAAGCTTCCTGCAGGCTTCCATGCTGGCTGAGGGGGGTCAGGAGGGACTGAGACCCCCAGGACTGGGCAGTTTGGGACCCCTCTCACATGTTGAAGGTGCAGGATTGTGCTTATCAGCAATTTGCCTTGCACAGGGCACCCCAGCTCCAGCAGCACCATTACACTGGCCCCATCCAAACCATTCCAGGAGGACAGTGCTCCCTTAATTCTCCTTCTGGAGCAGCATTAGACTGATCAATATCCACATCATTCAAAGTCAAATGATTTTTACTGCTGAAGGAGGAAGAGAGGAGCCATCCTAATCAGGCCTTTCAAAGCTTCCTCCTGGAGCAAGGCTGGTGACTGGAGAGGAGAAGGTGTTTGAAAGAGTTCAGCCTTTTCTTTCTAAGGAGAAAACAAGCACACAATCCCATGTGAAAGGGGCTGTGTCATTAAGCAGTCCTAATGCTGGCTATCACCACAGCATGTGCCTTGCTGCCCAGGCAGCAGCCAGGGCAAGGAGCATGAGTGTGCCTGCTCTGGGGAGAGATGCTGGGGCTGGAGCTGATGCACCTCAAGACCATGTGCTTGGAAGCGCAGCTCTAAGCTCCAGCAAAGGTTTCCTGGCAGCTGGAGGGGAATATGGATGGTTCATGTGGCCTTTCTCTTTGGGAAAGAGGCTTCCAACTGCTCTGCAGTGGTGATCCCTGCTCTGGGATGTGCTGATAGGGAGGGCTCTGAAGAGGGAACGAGGCGCCAGGAGATAAGGGGGCTGCGTCATGGGAAACCATCCAGAGGAAGGGTTGAAGGACACAAGGAGATAAGGATAAGGTCACCCAAGCCCTGGGAGAGCTGCCGGTGGCTCAGCAGCAGAGGCTTGGTTGGCAGGAGGCTGACTGAACCCCTCAGCCGTGTACTGCTGCATCCACCACTGGCCCTCAGCAAAGGGATGCTCCATGGGGCTGTGTTTGAGTGCTGGTTTGTCCCCCGCGTGGCTCCTCGCAGGCTCCCTGAGCTTCCTAAAATGGAAGCTAAAGCTGGATTGATTTATTCTGGCTGCTGCTCCAGAGCGGGGTAAAGAATCCACAGGAAGCTCCAGAGCTGTCCGGACACACCACGCATCTCCAGAGGCCCATGTTCTTCTCCTGGAGGAACCTGGTTGGCCTTAGGAAGGGTCCCCACCTCCCATGGAAGGAGCCGGTTCATGGCCAAGAGCTGGCACAGCAGCTCCCAAAGCTGTGTCCAGCTCTGCTCTGGGTAAGCATCGCACCTGAACCCGTGCGTGCCCCCGGTCAGGACACTTACTGGGATGCGCTTGATGCCTCTCACACGCTCCCAGCAGGCTGATGGATGATGCTGCGGGGTCCTCGGGTGGCCACAGACCCTTTCCTTGGCTGATGGGGGTGGTTTTGCTTCCTCTCTGTGCAGCTCTGAGCAAGAGCTCAGCCTGTTTTCCTCCAGCATCCTCTTCCCTGGTACCCCTGTGCCGCAGTTCTCCCCTCAGACCCTCCAGGCTTGGCAGCTGGGTCTTATTGCTGCAGATCCAATCTGGGTTTACACAGGGGGGTTAATACAACACTTGAGGGTGTTTTTCCTTCCCAGAGAGCTCCCTTGGTCCCCGAGGGTTTCCCGCAGTTTCTCACACAAACTCAGGCCCTTTCGGTGCAAGCCGGTCCCTTTCCCCCCCGAGAGCATCCCGTAGCCATCCAGCTGTTTCTCTGCTAAAGTCGAGGTCATTTGGGGTTTCTCGTGTTTCTCTTTAGGAGTTTTTTCTGTTTGGAGGCTTGGCTTTGTTGTGGCTTTGGTCTCCACTTGCAAAGCATCATCTGCTTTATTTTTGGATGTCCCCAAAGAGAAGACTGCTGCATGATGGCTGCAGGGGTCAGAGAAGCAGAAACTCTCCTTTCCTCTAATGAAAGAATCCAGTGCCATAGAAATAACACACCCTGGCTGACCATATGGTCTTTCTGCCCCATTGAAATCAAAGGCCAGGGGATTCTGCAGGAGCTCCTGGCCATGAACCAGCACAGCCACCCCTGGGGGCAGAGCCAGGAGCTCCTGAAGCTTTGCCCATCCTAGAGGAGAGGCCTCTGTGGATGAAACAGTGCCAGTGGGGTGTTAGGGCATCGTGGTTTGGATGCTTCTGCCTGTACCCATCTTGGGGTTGCTTTGGGGCTCAAGCCTGGTGTCCCCCCCACCACCAGCAGCACAGACCCTCCTGGTGGGCTGTGTGTGTGAGCCTGGTGTTGAGCATCACGAGCCCCTTCTGGAGCTGCCGCTGCCTCTGGGCACTGCAACATCTCATAGCCACGAATTCCTCCCTCGAATAATGTGCTGTAGCCAGGGGAGGGGGGAAGAGACTTTTCTCCTCTTTGTTTTCTTTTGTCAGGCTTTAAACCCGGTGGCAAATGCTGCTGGTAATTAAGGGCTGTCTTGCCACTTGGGTGATGTGCTGAAGTGCAGCCTCCTGTTCCCAGGCAGATGCTCCCACAGCAAACCCACCCTGGAGGAGAGGCAAATCTTGTCTTAATTCTCTTCTTTCTTATCACAACAAAAAGCTTCCTATCTGAGGTGGCCTTGGAAACCTCTCCTCATTAAAAGACCTCCTTGAAAGGTATTCTAGCAGCTGAGGAGGGTGGTGATGGAGCACAAAAAGCCTGCAGAAGAGCTCATTAAAACAAAAAAATTACAACTAATTAGAATAAATCAAGATAAATCATCTCCAGTGTGAAGGCAGAATGAGGTGTGAGGGAGTGTTTTAATAAGGCCAGCGCTAATCCCAGGCTCCTCTTTAAAGTGACACTGAGTCCTGCTGCAGTGATGACCCCACTGCTGGGCCCAGGGCAGAAACCAGGCCCAGACAAAGGCGAGAGGGAAGTGGAGTTAATGGGATTCTTAATTGTTTCCCAGCCTGAGCTGCCTGTCCCTAATTGCAGTGCATTTGAGGGCAGCACAGCACAGTGGT